ACAACGGTAAAAAAATTTATCACTTCTATTGACAATTTCCATGCAAAACAAAGCCAAACGAATAGTATTCGGTATGATAATTTTTTTTTTTTCAATTGGAACAAATTCTAAACCTAATGGTAAAAAAACGTTATCACTTTGATAGACAATTTTCATAAAAGTTATGACAACGTTTTAAGACAACAGAAATAACTATATTAATTCAATAAGCTAATTATTAAATCCATCAATGTTTCGTATATTTAAATAATTTCAATAGACTTTATAGAGATTCTATAAAACTTATTTTTTAATAAACTCATTTATAATCAAATTCTTACACCGGTAAAATAATTTTGCACGTGAACATGTAATTTTTTAACATGTTTTTAAATTTTTTTTAAAAAGCTACATCAAAATTTTTCCAAGGTCCAATTTTTTTCTTGTTTCATAGCCAATTTTGCCCCCAACCCCACGTGACCGATTTTTCCAGGTTTTCGTTGAATTGATCTTCCCACCACTTTGGTGAGAAAATGATTTTTCAGCTTTTTTTTTTTTAGCAATAGAAACATTTTGTCCTCAATTGTAAAAAAAAAAAAAAATCCCTTTAATGGACAATTTTCATGAAAAATAAAGTCAAACGAACACCAAAAGNAAACAAAGTTAAACGAACATAAAAAAATCCAAATTTTCAATATTTTTCAGGTGAAAAATTATACCAATCAAAGATAATTGACAATTTTCAAGAAAACAAGATCTAGGAAATTATTTTCCATGGAAAATGAAAAATCTTTTCCATCACAAGATTAAATAACATTTAAGTAAATTTCTTGAGCTCCGCCAAACGACACCTCAAATTTTGTGTTATGTACTCTTTTTGTTATTTCAATCAATAATATTCATTCATCTTCAAAGTAGCGGTAAAAAGTAATTTGAAAAATTAGGATTGGACGTCTCAACCTTTCATGGGGGTATAGAATCAGTTCCCCTAACCTTCAAAACTGGTGTTTTAACTCTCCAACCTGTGAGATTGGGTCCTCACATGATAGAGTCTATTACTTCCTCGGTTAGAAACTCAAAATTTCTTTAAAATGACTATTATACCCTTGTTATGGATTACATAAGGATAAAATAAACCAAAAACAAAAAATAATAAACATATGTTAAAACAACCAAAACAAAGAAAAAATTAAATAAAATTCGATCACCTTCCCATTACCTTGACCATCCCATTAGTACTACCACCACCGAAAATTTATTGGAATGATTTTGATTGAAGTGATTTAGGCCCTGTTCTCTTTACTGTTTTCAAGTCGTTTTAGAATTTTTGGGACGGATTTCCAGGATCCTTTCAGGCTCTACAACCCATTCCAGATTAGTGTCGAGGTGAGGGGGAAACTCCTGACTTGCTTCTTGTGTACCTAGTGCCTTTTTTAGTTGCGATATGTGGAATACGGGATGGATAGCCGTGGTTGGAGGTAACCTCAGTCGATATGCCACAGATCCTATACGTTCGTCTACCTCAAACGGGCCAAAGTACTTAGGTCCCAGTTTCTCGTTTGGTTTCTTGGCGAGAGAACGGAGGCGATAGGGACGGAGCTTGACATATGCCAAATCCCCTACTTCCAACTGAATGTCACGCCTTCGACGGTCTGCAGTTTCCTTCATTCGTTCCTGGGCGTGGAGCAGGTGAGATTTGAGCTCATCCAGGATGTGATCCCTGGTCTGTAGCTGCTGCTCCACTGATTGTAATGGTGTGGTTTGGTTGCCATAACGAATCAGTGGGGGGGGATCTCTTCCATATACTGCTCTGAATGGAGATGTGTTGGTAGAGGAGTGGAATGTGGTGTTATACCAGTATTCTGCCCACGGAATCCAACTGCTCCAACTCTTAGGTTTATCACCAACAAAACATCGTAGATAATTCTCAACGCACCTATTAACCACTTCTGTCTGCCCATCCGTCTGTGGATGGTAGGCCGTGCTCCGACGTAGGTAAGTTCCCTGTAAGCGGAATAGCTCTGACCAAAATCGGCTCAAGAATACCTTGTCACGGTCTGAGACAATAGAGTTTGGAACGCCATGGAGCCTGACTATTTCTTTGACAAAAAGTGTAGCCACTGATTCTGCCGTGAAGGGATGTTTCAGGGGTAGGAAATGAGCATACTTGCTGAGACGATCAACCACCACCAACAAAGAGTTGTAACCTCCGGATTTTGGTAGACCCTCTATGAAATCCATCGAGATGTTTTCCCATATAAGACGGGGAATGGGTAAAGGTTGAAGG